GTTTTATTTGAAATCTCTTCCATGTGCTGTTTCAGTCTGTCCTGTCCAGTCCTAAAAATATAAAACACCAGAAGCAAAGTTTCAAACACAGATGAGAAGGCAGGCATCTTTGTTTTCCAAGATACCACCCAGCTACTAGGCAACAAAGCTAGGCTTGTTCCTGTGCACATTCTGTCTGTTTCTGATTCTGTAATGCAAAAATGCAACATCTTCAAAGAAAAGCATTGAAGCACTAAATAAGGGCTTGGGGCCACCTATCGTCATTAGAATAGCCTAGTGGTTAGATAAACTTTTGACAGGTGGAGCTTATGAGGATCACATTTCTGTGTCCCTCTGTGGGTCCCAGGCCAGAAAGGCTTAGAAAGAATAAAAACCTGAAACTGTCATAATGCTTGTAAACTGAAAAACTAACCTGAATGTTCTCCTCAAGAATGCTGTGTTTGAGCACCCTGGCTGTAGATGCTTCTTCCCTACAGATCCAGCATATTGTATTTTTTAAATTAGCATCTACAATGAATTGAGGGACTACTTACTTGCAATTTAAATTCCAGATTTGTAACTGTAGCTACAGAGAAATCTCATCTCCTGAAAAGTGGGTGGAGAAAACTCTATTTAGTTCTAAGGGCTCTTCTTGCAACAGTGAAAGTGAATAATTCAGCCAGGAATAATTCAGCTAGAATTCCCTTTTTTCTTAAACAGATGTTCTGGATGGAGCTCTCTATATTTTTTGCCATGCAATGATGAAGACATTAAGAAAAAAAAAAGATTTTGACTATGGAGTTATAGAAGTCTGTATCAAACAACCAACAGACTTACTAACTATGACTGGAAAGACTTATCCGTCTATGGAGCACTCACGTGAGTTGCAATTTAAATTCTGTTCTACTACGCCATATGTCAGACCAAGGCTTACAAATACTTTTCATACTCGTAGAACATACGTATGCTTTGTCCTGGGTCAAAGCTGCTTAAAACTAAATAAATAAAAAGGCAGCAAAATAATCCACCACTGGAGAGGCTAGTGTAGTCACTCAGATGGCATTCTGGAATACATTTGAACTATAAAACTCAAAAAAAAAAAAAAAAAAATTCACAGACATGTCTAACTAAGCTACTTATGAAATTAGTAAGTAAATAAATAGCACAGGACTGAAAGGCCTTTAACTATCTTTGAACTGTTAGACAGCAGGCCAGTAAAAGGGTGGGTGGTTACATGCTTTATATTTTTAGGCGTTAACTCAAAACTGATTTAATTGCAGAGCAAACTGCTTCAGTGCTTCAAGGATTGGATGCTACAATTGCATATACACAGGCAGCTTAGAGAGGCTTTCAGTACAGAAAACGGTAGGTCAATTTAAGGGACTGATGTAAATCTACACTCTGAAGTTAGTAGTTTTGATATCTGAGACTTCTGACCCTAAAAGATGAAGGGCATAATCCTAAAACTTGGCTGGTGCCACTGAATATGAGTAGCTGTTGCCTTGTCTCTGTCTTGATTTTTCTACTGTTGTTGGAACAGTTACAGTGCGAAAGGTGACAGATTTCTGGCATTGTTTGCTAGTGTTTAAGGAGCACTTTTTGCTTTGGTAGCAAAATACTCGCATGTGTAATGGTTAAGAAGCTATGTGCAACAGAACAGACATGATAAGAACTTCTGTCATCTCCTGAGTTTTTATTGACCACTTGTTACCACTGCGTAAAAGTTCAGAGAAGAGACGTGATTTAGATTAGGCCAGTTAATATCACTGCTTGTTTGGTAGCAAAATGGATACGAAAGCTATGTTTTTTGTGATATGTGTCAATAAGGGGACTAGCCAGAAGGTTAAGGTGTATATTGTTTCTGCATGCATCACTCGATACTCTTCCTGTTTTGTGGCAGCCAGTGAAGCTGACTCATGGTTCAAGCAAGAGAGGCTCATGATGCACTGTTCACCAAGTGGCAGTCCCAAATTTCCTACATGCTTTCCTCCCATCTGGTAAGTGGATGATTCATTTATGACTCACTTTTTTCCCTCATCTTAAGAGTAGTTCTTAATGAGTCAGATAGAATGTTTTCAGGGACTCATGCTGTTGTAGAGCACTTCACCTCTACTGCTCTCATCTTCTCATCTCTCCTGTACTGTGGGCTGTGGTCTAACTTCCAAAGCAGAATCCTTTTACTCTAAATACAGAATTTGTGAAAATGCTGCTTTAGTGAGCCATTTCTGATTTGAATATGACTTTTAGCTTTGTCTATAATATTGTAACTTAGTGAGGTGGGCTCAGCTTCATGGATTGTAGCAGGTTAGATGGTGTGTGTGAAAGTCCAGGTAGCAGAGACCTCACCTGGAATGGGGCTGGAAAACCCAACTAGAAATAACAGGTCTCCATGATCTCTCTGCTTACAAATATTTGGAAATCAGACAACAAACTTAATATAGGCCCGTCCTGTTTGACTCTCTAAGAGAATCAGAGTGTTTCTCTGGCACCAGAATGTATAAAAACAAAATGCTACTTAAAATAAGGAGTTCTAGTCCGCACTTCTCTCAAAATGTCAAGAGCAGTCTTCCTATGTGGCCTTTAAAAAAGGTTATGAAAATAAACAAACACATAAACCTCCAGACTCCAAATCAAAACCAAATTGCTAGAATCCCACAGCCCATTATGGTTAATGGTCCTTGCTTATCCCACTGAAACAAATTTTACAACTTTTCTTACAGCTGGTAGGTTAATTGCTGCAGATCAAAGTGGCCTAATGTTCATGGCAGGCTTCTGAGTTGTTCTCTTTGGCACTTCCATCATAGCCATTAAAGTCTATCTGGAGTTTTCAGAATAAAGCTGATGAGCTTGACTTAATATAGAGGAGAGTGTGACATGCCTAAGATTGTGCTAAATAGCAGCTAATGGGCCCTGGTACCAGGTATATAATTGCCATGCGATTAAGGGCCACAGAGCTCTTCCAGGACTTGTTCACAGGCTTTTGCTACTGGGAATTTCATGTGGAGGGTCGCCCTCTGATTTTCCAGATAGTAGCGTTGACTGCAAAACTGGAGGTGCTTGTGGTGCACACAGTCCTTCTGCTGGGCATGCTAATATAAGTACAGCGTCTCCCCGTTCTGGTGGAAATCCCTGGGGCCATGTCCACAGCAGCCAAGAAAACTTCATGCTCACTGCTGTCTAATCCTCAGCAACACGGGTACAGGCTTGCCTTCAAACAAAGGACACTCTGCAGTGGATATGGAGAATTAGGGTCACACATGTGTTATTCTTTCTCTTTTACAATACGATTAGACAGAACTGGCCTGGGCTATTGTACGGGCAGATTCTAGACGGATTTTTGTATGCTAGCTCTATGTTTGGACTGCAAGTTTGATATAAATCCTTATGGTGAGTGACTGTGCTCTCTAAGCGAAGAAAGAGTAGGAAAAGGGTAGGTGTTAGGCTGATGGCTGGGTTTTGACAATCATCGGTAGGCTGCTGATCAGTGATAGGCCTTTGGGAAGTGGTTTGAATTGCCATATTTGTAATAAAAATTGGGCCAACTGATCTGCTGGCATGCAGCAATGGTCTGCATTTGTGCAAAGAGCTGCAATAATATTCTTCTGTGGCTTCTAGTAAAGTCCACAGATGGCAAAGAAGAGGTAAAAGGATGGTAGACAACTTCTGACGAACTTATCTTCTATGTATATATATGCCTTCATGTTAAACTGTAGCTAAAAATGTATGTAAACATACTCTTTACATAGAGAAAAATGCAGGTAATGCATCCATGAGATGCAAATAGCAGCTCATGTCTTTTACTGTTTTCCAAACCATATTGCCAGTCCTATAGATGTGCTCGTCACGTAAAACAGACCAGGTACCACACTCTATTGCTGCATGATAGTTCACTGGAAGAGTTTAGTAAAAAGCTAGATGAAAGAAATATAAACTTTCTTCTATATTTGAATCTCAGAGGTCTTTAGTTAATTTGCAAATCATTCCATTCCATTAACAAATCTAAATTTGTGCATTTGAAATTGAGAATCTGTGGTTTATATCTTCTTTTACTTATCTTTCCATTTAATTCAAACTGAATAGCTCTTTCTCCTCAGATCATTCTTTTGCCCCTAAAGCAATTTCCTTATTATATGCTCACTAATGACTAAAACCACATCTAAATAGCATCATTCCTAATGGTTCCTTGATTGTTTAAGGATTAACCACCAGGAATAGCATGTTTTTGCAAGCAATATCTGGAAATTAAATGTCTAATGATAATGCCTAATAATAAAGAATAAAGTCAAGCAGAAAATGACATTTTCTAATTGGAAATTAAGGATAATGTAGATACTGCTCCCAAACTAAAAAATACTTTGCTTTGGTGTTTAGTAAGGTTGATAATATAGAATGTAGAAGCAAACACATGATGGTTAACAGAAATCACTACATGAAAATAAGAATTACTACATCTAGAAGAAAAACTGAAGGATGTTAATATGGTCAGCTGAAATGGATCAAATTATTTCCTCTTTAGCCACCTGGTAGCCATAGAAAGTGAAAGGTTTTCTGATTGATTCAGTTGATACCAGAAGACTGGAGAATGATGTTTAGAATAGCTGAACTGAAGAAGGGGAGTGAAAGAGACCAACTACAGACTCATTTGCCTATGCTCCAAATTGAAAAACACATTTTGGAAGGATAGAATAATTGAAGAGAATCATTCACCTTGGGAGAGAAATAGCTATGCAGGAGAGAGATAATGATCCCGGATAAAAGGAAAAACAATCAGGGTGCAGTAAGATTACTAGGTAATACTCCCAAAGACCAGACTTCAGCCTGATCAGCATTGTTTTTTTTTTTAATAGCCTTACTACAAAAAGTAGGAATCTACTGATTTAAATTTATTCATGACATAAATTTGGGACATAGAAAATAGTGAGGATGATCATAAACATATCACCTAAAAACAATTATATGACCTTGTGAAACAAAGTAATAGTAATAGGAAATTTAATTATGGAAAAGGTAAGATTATGCTCCTATGGATTAACATTTCTAGTAGAAGCTGTGGGGGCTGATCAGCTGGAAGT